AAAATTACATTGCATTACGAAAGAAACATTAAAAAAAGAAAAGAACAAAAAAGGGTCTAACAACTGTAAGAAAGTAATATTAGATTCATTACAAAACGAAGCTTAAATACTTACAATTAAATCAGAGTAACATAGAGAAATAGAAATAAAGAAAGAGAAAGTAAAAAAAAAAGAACTGTCTTAGAAAGTCTGCCAGTTAAGACTTTGACTTAGAAAAAGAAAATTAAAGGGACCGAAAAGTAATGTCGTTACTGCGCATGTCAAATTTTTATATTAATATTTTAATCAAAGAACCGCTTGATAATTTTTATTGTTGCGATATAAAATATTTTGCATATCAGATAGAAAAAAAATGCTCATAACCTGGGTAATAATACCATTTTTAAATATTGATAATAATTTGTTGATAAAATTTATTCATTCGAACTTACAATTCAAATTTTAAGATTAAAAAGTGACATTACATTTCAGTCAACCTAACATATATATATATATATATAATGTAATTTTATTTATAATCTTTAACTTGTAATAAACAAATGATTCTCTTTTACATAAATTATCAATTTTAACTCGTAGTAATGATGATTTAATGGTAATTTTATTGTAAATCGTTTGTGAATATATTATTACAGTATACATTATTGCAAGAAAAGAAAGAAAAAAATCCCTCAAAAAGTTGTAAAAATTATTTTGCAAAATTAATATAAAATAAAAATTGTAAGAATTTACTTCACAATTTTAATTTTAAATAAAAATTCTGAAAAATTCGGTATATTTAGGATTAAATATTTTATAATGTCTTTTCCGTTCTTTTTATTTTTTTTTTTTTGTATCTTTTTTCTGTTGATACATTGCCCACATGTTGTAGCCCTTTTTGATTAAAAGCCAGACACAACTTTTACGTTATAATATATCACAATGAAATTATTTTGTCATCAGACACTTAGTAGTAGATTCTACATTTGATTGTATTAGAAAATATCTATTTTCGCATACTTTTACATGCATACATTCATTTATACAGTACATACATACTTAGGAGTGCACACGTCAGTGCAAATATTTTATTTAAGGGTTCATTTTGGTTTATACGCCGAAAAAAAGGCTATTTTCACGATTTTTTTTTAGGCTTTGTAGGATACACATACATATGAAAGTTGTTGGGTATGATAAATACACTCTAGAAGTACAAGAAAAATTTTTTTTTTATTGTTTTTAACGTTTTTTGACATCCGAAATGGCTGACAGACGTGAACCCGTCAAAAGTAGGTATGCTGTTGGCGGGCATCGAAATTTGAGAACGGGTGATCTAAAACAACAAAATTAAACGGTTTCAAATTCAGTATGATAATGGCTATCAGGTATGCTAAAACTATCAATTTTTATGAAAACAAAACAAAATGACGGTCATTTTTCGAAAAAGAAAAAAATCGTTGATTTTTTTCGCAGTTTTTTGTATCAAAAAAATAGTAAAAATTAATATTTTGACTTGGATATAGCATGCAAGATAGCTATTCATGTTTAGAGTATGTGGTTAAATTTTCAGAAGGATCGGTTGAGTAGTTTCAGAGATATCATGCCTGCCAACCGAAACAACGTTGTTTCGAGAAAAACGCATTTAAAGTTTTTCTAAAAAAATTTTTAAAAAGTCTGATGTTACCTTATTTTGCGATGCCTGCTCCATACAGTGTGCCTTTTGCTTCTCCAAAACATTCATTATCTTCCACTGTAGCCTTTTTTCGTTGTGTCTTGGCCTCTTTTAAAAATTCTCCGCTCAAATGATTGGTTAAGCGTACACGCGTGTTGTCGCGGGTACTAGCGTAATTAACTGCGATAGGGCCAAGTTTTATCACCAAAACGTGCATTATTTTCAGTATTGGATCAAAACCTTCGTTGAATATACAAGCTGCCAATTTAATAGCTATTTCAACAATTTTTTTACCATTAAATATGTGCTTAGGCATTATAGCTCAAACGCACTTTTTAAAGCACTCATTATTATTTTGAGTGTAGCCACCTAAACATCTTTCAAGTAATTCTGTTTTTATCAGGTCAACATCAACCTTTTGTTTTTTGCTGCTATATTCATGCAGAGACATTTCCACTTACACCATCGCAGATGGTTTGTCTCCTCTATCTGTAATATCTCTATGTGTTTGGGTTGCAAAATAATATACTTAGACTGCTCGGAACGTTCTAAAATTGTTGTATGATAATTTTACATATATCTACTTTCGAAAAATGCAAAAAAAAATTGATTTTCTCAAAATGATAGACTAGAATGAACCCTTAAACTTAATTTAATAAAAATTGCAATTTTTTGCATAATGAATTTTGCCGTAATATTAACTTGACTAATTAAACCTCATCTTGTTAGCTAGAATAGTATCGTATGCGGACGATATAATAGGAGATCACAAGTGCGGTTTTAGGATAAATAGATCGACTACGGACCAAATCTTTGCTATTAGGCAAATCTTAGAAAAAAAGTGGGAATTTAATCAGCAGGTACAACAACTTAATATAGATTTCCAAAAAGCATACGACTCGATAAAACGAGAAAAAATGCTAAAAATCCTAATACGACAGGGGACACCAAGAAAATTGGTCAAACTTGTTCAACTTTGCCTAAAGGAAACGAGGGGTAAAGTGTGGTTAGGTAACAAAATGTCGGAAGATTTTAATATCTATAAGGGGTACAACAGAGGGACGCATTGTTACCCCTTTTGTTCAATTTAGTATTGGAATTCACTGTCAAAGAATTGCAGAAAAGTAAAGATGGTCTACAGTTAAACGGAACGACACAATTGTTGACATATGCGGACGATATTGCTTTCTTAGGGGACAAGGAAGAGTTATTATTTTTTAACGCAAAAATATTAATAGATAATACTAAAGATCGGCTACTGCAAATAAGCGCGGAAAAAACCAAATATATGGTAACTAATAGAGTTCAGAATAGGCCTAGTACTGGAACTTTGGTCGTCCGGGATAAAACTTTTGAACGGGTTAGAAACTTTAGATATTTAGGATCGATCATAAACTAGACGAACGAAATTAACAAATATCTTAAGAAAAAAATCAATTTAGGCAATTCATGTTTTTATTTGGTTAAAAAATTACTAAGCTTACAGTTGCAGTCTAGGCGATTAAAAATCAGGATATACAGGACAATCATCCTGCCGGTAGTCCTTTATGGTAGCGAATCGTAGTCGCTTACGTTACGGGACGTAAAGAAATGTAGGGTTTTCGAAAAAAAAGTTCTTCGTAAAATCTTCGGTGCAAAACTCAATGAGGTCACGGGCGAATGGTGAAAACTCCATAACGTTAAAATACATCGATTGTACAACAAATCGGACATTATCAACATCGTAAAATCAAGCCGAATAAGATGAGCTGGTCACGTGGCGCGCATGGGGGAAGATCGAAGGGCGCACAAAATATTGGTCGGCATACCAAACAGGAAAAGACCTTTTGGTAGACCGAGACATAGATGGAAGGATAATATTATAAGAGATCTGAAAGAAATAGGATACGAAGACCGTGAATGGAAAGATCGCGCTCAGGGACGGGAGCAATAGCGGGATTTGGTATGTGCGGCAATGAATTTCCTAGTTCCTAATCACAATTAATAATAATAATAATCATACTTTAGGAGCTATTTAGGTTTCAAAAGCTGGTTAATCACATTGTATATTGTAAAATAATTACCACAAAATATATTTAACATTAAAATATAATTAACATATTTATAAAAATGAATATGACTATTTAATTTATACTGGTAAATTATAAAGCGAATCTAATTATATTGTATATACAAAAATTATGATTTATTTTTAATATAATTAGGAACTAATAAAATATTTCATTGTAAATGTTGCGATACTTTCTTAAGTCACTGTATTGTATAATAAATACTGTATTTTTTGTTTACTATGAATAAAATAGTTCTAAAAAGTTCAGAACTCAGTATATTGATGAAAGTTTTTTATAAAAAAACAAGAATAAATTAGGAATATTTATTTGCAAAGAAAAACTCTTATAATTTATTTACCAAAAACATTACGCATTACGCGAAAGCGTAAATGCGTGTAAATATGTTATCTTGAATTGTGGGGCCGAACATAAGTGTAGTTGTTTGAAAGTAACCCATTCTTAGATTTTGCTGAGCCGTCGGACCACACTCGTTGTATGTTACAGTTCTGTATTCGTTTGAAAGCTGTTCTGCTAATTTAAAGAAGAATTCTTTTAATAGTATTTTTATTCCTGTCGTTTTCTTGTAAAGGATCCAAGCATTTATAGCAGCCAAATCTAAAGTATTGAAGAATATTTTGAGTGGAATAGATGCCGCATATATGCGGCGCTTGGCGCGAAAGAGTAAAGAACATATCAATTTCGTGAAATACCCCATTATACCTATCTAACGCGAACAATAGTTTATTATCGGTCTGATACAAGTCTTGTATATTCGTATCTTGCTTTTGCTGCTTATGTTTGTTTCTTCATATAATATCCCTAAAGTATCCAAAGATTATGGAAGCTTTGATTGTTTGGACCTCCTCTTCTAGGATTCTATTGCTCGTAATGATCGCTAATAGGTATTTAAATCGCATCACTTGGTTGACACTTTGATTGTGTATTGCTAACTTGCATCGTCTAAGCTCCTTGAAGATGGGGAGTGATTCGGTCTTCTGTACAAAAACAATCATATTAAGTTTACCTCCCGTTTTATCGAACTTGTATAACATCCATTTAGAATCATCTTCATCTTCCGGCATGTTGACTGCGTAGTTGGCGTACCATATAATTTTTAGGTTTTTTTTTCCTAGCTTAACTTCATCTCCAGCTTTTTTCACCTCCTGGATTATTTCGCCAATAATCAGGTTAAAAAGGATCGAACTTAGACTGTCTCCTTGTCTGATTTCGCTTGTTATTTGGATATTTTTCGTTGTCATGTTACCTGTTATTATTATTGTTCTGTTTTGGGTGTTGAGTTATTTTATTATATGCATTATATTTTCGTTCACTCCTCTGGCTCTTAAGAGCTGTTGCACGTCACCAAGCTTCACCTTGTCAAACGCTTGCTGGAGGTCAACGAAGCATATAAATATTGGTTTGCTAATTTCTATAGCTTTTTCAGCTATTTGTCGTAGTATGAATATTGCGTCTACCGTGAATTTGTTCTGCTGGAAGCTTTGCTCTTCTTCGCTTAATCCTGTCTGTTCTATTTCCTTCGCCGGAATATTCCTCATTAACTTCTGTACTGCACTAAAGATGCTAATTCCGCGGTAGTTGTTTATATCTGTCTTTGACAATTTTTTAAATATAAGTGTATTATACCCTCATTCCACTGCACTGGTACTGTTTTTTTATTTAATATTTTGTTGAAGAGGATACTTAATTCCTCGGTTAGTTTATTCCCTCCATATTTGATTAGTTCGTTTGTAATCTCATATGTTCCTGGAGTTTTGCGGCTTTTTAGATTGTCCCTTGTTCTATAAACTTCTTCAGTGCTTCTAATGTAGTCATGTGATTTTTCTTCTTCTTCTTTTATGCGTATATTATTAGTTTTCTTCGTCCTATCTCTGTACGGCTCTGAGAAATCTTTTTCTCATTCGTCTGTTGTGATTCTAGCGATCTGTACGTATTCGCTTACTTGTTTCTTTCGGTTTCTTAGCATGTTCCATACTTTCTTGTGTGCTCCATATAGATCATGTTCCATGTAAGCTGAAAATTTTTCCCAGTAATCGCGTTTGATCTGTCTTATTGCTTCGTTTATCCTGTTTGTAGTTCGTCGGTAAACGTCATATGTTATTATGTTATTTCGGTTCTGTAAATAGGTTTATCTTTTTTCTTCCGCTAGGGGCCATTACTTTTGCTTTAAACCATAGAGTATTATTTCGTTTTGTGTTTATGTTTTATTTTCTTCTGCCAAGGGCTTCTCCATCTGGACCTATGATGTTCGCTTTTATCTTTAGCCATGCCGTCTCTATGGAATCTGTTTCTAGGAAATTTTTTCTTTCTATTTTTCCCTCTAGTCGCCTTTGGTACAGGTTTCGTATTGTATTATTGCTCATCGATTCAAAATTAAGTTTCTTTGTTGTAATCTGTTTTTTTTTATTTTATTTTTTTATGATAAGCGTGTTTTTTTTTATTTTCGCCTGCACCAGATTGTGATTAGTGCATGTATTTTCTGAGCTTAGCATTTTGACGTCTAATATCTTTGTGGGATGTATATTTCTGTTTAATATTATATAATCTATTGTTGATTTATGTATTCTTGTGTTTTCGTAGATAAATTTATGTTGTGGGTAATGTTGGTAGAATGAATTATTAATACGTGGTTCGTCTATGACAATAAAGTTAGTCAGCCTGTCCCTATTGTCATTTTAAATGTCCTCAATAAAACGATTTTTTATCCCATTAAAAGTCTTTTTACCGATCCTTGCGTTAAAATTCCCAAGAATTATAATCTTTTCTTTTCCAGGAATGTTGTCTAGGTACGCTTAAAGCAGTTTGTAGAATTATTCTTTTTGTTTTTGTGGTTTATCTTGTTTATATCTTTTGACTGTTATATTTAACTTCGAACTTAATTAGTGTCGTTACCGTATAGGGAAAAGAAGAGCTAGTGTATCAAGCCGTTACGGTAGGCGAGTGTCGCTACGGAGAGAGCTCCATTTACCGACTGTACTTTAACGGCTATTTTGAATCTGTCATCGGTAATAGATGCTGTGTAGAATGTAAAGTTTTTCATCCTATAAATTCCAAGGTAATTAAAAAATAATTTTTAACGTAAGATTTTTAATATATATTAAATGATTATTTTCAAAGAAACAATTTTTAAGTGGTATAATYAAAACGTTAGAATTATATCGAGAATAACAAATATTTGCATAGTAAATAAATTTATGAATTTGTTCCATATATGTGTAAGATAACAAATTCATTATATTTGTGTAATAGTAATAAACGAAAGAATATTTTTCTGTGAACAAAGAAACGACAATTTAGGTTTATATTCATCACATTCTGTTCCCTATTCAATTTCTTTA